CAGGATTGATTTACTGAAACGGTCATGATTGATGGCATTGTCTGTGAGCTCAGGTGGTTGAAGTAGACGGCGCATTGGCCGCTCAAAGGCACGCCGACTGCATTGTATCGATTGTACGGTATTCCGCCAATTGCCAGTTGTTGATGTACGATTTTTGGGGCGTTATACAGCGGTCTAAGAACGGTCCAATTCGTTGCTGGTCGAAAAAGAACAGTCGACACGTGTCAGCGTTGACAGCTGGCACAGTAGGCTACTTAGTTCCTGGTTGTCTGGTATGCTGCTCGCAATAGCGGTAAATTTTGTTGCCGCTGCCTGGGAATCACCTCAGCAACTCAATCGTCCAGAAACCATGCACTGGATGGATTGTGATGCCGGATTGTACATCATCATTTATCCGGTATGCCTTCCATCAGGTACTGTTTCACGCAGTTGTCCGACAGTACCATTTCTTATATTTAGTATTTACAGTTTATGATCGACTGTAGGTGATTTTCACCATTGTTTCCAAAACTGTTTCGACCCTAAAAACGTTTTTTGTTCTTATGACCCAAAGGCCCGGTTCACATCGTTTTGATTGCTTCTTATTTTGATGACTATCGAATGTTTAAGTAATTTCTTTGAATTTGTTTAATCAACTAAAACGATAAATTCCAGCAACTTTTTAATGGTGCAAAACGCATAGGACATCTTTAGCCATTTTTCCTCATTTGAGTTATAATCCGAAGTTTGAGAACCACTGGTTTACACGAACAGTGCCATAGATGAGGAATATAGTCCTAGTCAAGATTAATTTAGTGCTATGGCAGAAAATACAGGAAAGGACCATTTTGGATCAATCGTTTGGCGCATACTGTTTGATCTGGGCAGATGATTGTCATTGGCCGTCGCTATTGCTGTCTCCGCCACTTTGGATCTGCGTAAACCTGAACAGCAGTCATCTGCGTCGAATATCTGATTAAACCCCATGCTATATATCAGTGGGAACCTCTTTGCGAGTGAAAAGAGATTCCGACGTCGATCTTGGGAATTTTCGAATGGGATTTCAGTTGGTGAGAGTTTATTGAGTCAGTGCGAAGTCAAGCTGGAGTCTGTGTGATTGGCAGATGGTTATTTGTATCAGCCCCCTTACCTCAACCCTCATGCTGCCTGTAAACGAAAGCTGTCTTTGAGTACAGTGCAATGCCGTTGTCAAGCCATTGGATTTCGATCGATTATTCATGATCATTTCATTTTCCGGTGGCTACGCGGAATCATTTAATTCAGAATTTAAATTTATACAATTGGTATGTCTTCATCTCTATCAATTACGTCGACCGAAAACTCTGTCAGCAGAACAAGAATCTTTTCTCACAGTTGTCAGTTTCAATGTTTTCACTTTCGCTTGGTCATTTCACTGTGACCATTACCCGAGCTCATTAAATCAGCGAGTGTTCGTTTAGTCAGGAGTTTCGACCCGTGAAATTTTCAGAACTCTATCTCTGTAATGTGCCCTAGTATCGGTGAATGTACAATGGGACGAGTGCTCTGACATTAAGATCATATCTAAGCAATCCTATATGGCACTGATCATAATTGGTCTTACAAAATATCCTCATAGCTTTTGTTCGGTTGCTGAAAAGTCGATGAACAGGAGCCGATGGATATCACTCCTGTTTTACAGCAGAGCAATTTTAATTGATTTCTTTAAAACAAACCATGCACAAGGCAAGCAACATGCTTGATTCTGGGACATCAAATGGCTTATGTTGATTACACAAAGCCAGGAGGTCACAGCTAATTTTTGATTTCTTTCTGGTCGAGTCAATCGTTGTGTTTGTGCGGTTGCAGTCCATTATCTCCATAACCACGTTGAAGCTTTTACACCGCTTAATGCAATGGTTATAGGGCAGGTGTGATTCATCACAACAGGTGAAGCTCTATGTCGATGCCCTGTCGCAAAGCGAAACAGAAGTAGTATATCCTTAAGTTAATTTTGGCGACGACTGAGGATAACATCTATGAATGAACGCAGTTAGAATCCTCTCACAGAACTGTATGTGTTTTAACCGCGAATTCCTTTGAGAAGGCAGTTGACCTAATGTTGCTTTGGAGCAGCCAGCCAAGAGTACTTACTTACTCAGGTAGTAAGTCATTCACTTGTCAACAACAGAGACAGCATGATGTTCTGGTGTGGTCGTACCAAAATGGACGAGGCGTTTGGCCAAGTTCTCCGATGCAATCATTCTTGTGGTTGCGCTGTGATCCATCTGATAGCTGACTATTCAATGCATTAATGATTTGTCTAAAGCATGACGCTTAATTATGATTTCTGATTTCCAGTATTTCGGTTTGAAATGGCAGTTGAAATTTTTCTTGAAAACCGCATTCTTTGCAATTCCATTTACAAACGGAGGATTGAATTTCACCTCATTCCACCATCATGGGTCACCATTCTTTGCTCAGAAGCTAAAAAGTATGATGTTAAAACGTAAAACGATGCGTACTTCAGGAATTGCCAGAAATGACAGTTGCATGTGTTCCTTTCGCCTGAGTTTATAACCTGAGTATCAGTTTTAAACGGATTTACTATAAATGCATACCAATGTCCACCCACTGATGGTCACCATTGGCAGGTCTTGACGACCCAGCAAATTCCTTTCATAGTTCTTCCCACCCTCGCGCATCGACCTTTTCTCTGAGGTGATGCCTGAACTCCGCGACATTGTCACGGAGGTGGAATTTAGGGACAGCTGAAACGATAAATTTTGAAATCTGAGTAGCTTGGCTTGATGATTGACATTTTCTTCTGTAGTGGAGAAAATTATTCCTTCTGCCTTTATCAGAGTTGCAGCAAAAATTGCAAGCCATAAATTAATGTCTATGAAAGGAACATTTGTGATTTCAGCCTATTTTGCTGAAAGTGCTCGATTCATAATTACTTTAATCATTATTCAGAACGGTAATAACTCATCACAGATATTTGATGACGTCAGCCAACTCACTTCTATACATGAAATGGGGGCAGCACTGAGGTCACTGGAACACACTAGATTATTCAACATTATTATTACTCACCGTTCCAACTGCAAGAAGGGCAGTTGTAACGGGACATCAGTAGTTTGTACCGGGGTCAGTTAAACAGCGTACTTTTTGGTTTAAAAATTGATCGCTTTAGATGGCCATGAAAGGAGGTATCGATTCGTTGCCTACCTGAATAACACTTAATGCTCTTCGGTTCTCGATCCATGATTCAATGCAACAGGATGACGTAAATTCCTTTACTCACTAGCGCGTTTCGACGATGCACAAAAACGTCATCATTATTCCTATTGCACACAGTCATATTATGAAATGTGTATGAGTGACAAAGTTGGGATTTCTGTTATAATAATTTTTTCGGATAAGCTGACCGATGACGCTCCAGCTGTCATTTGAACTAAACGAACTGGTGCATTTGTTCTCTATGCTTGACAAATTTTCAATGAGTCCACAGTAAAGCCCAACGAGCAATCGTTCATTTTAGAGTAGATTCAAAAACCTTCACCTTTCAGGTACTGTTTGAGTTTGTTGAAGAGTTTTGAAATAAATGAGATGACCTCAATGAAGTTGCTCTTACTGTTGATTTTGTTATTAACGCTAAGAACTTGTTTAAATAAGTGCCTTTTTCTGATTAGTTCACAGTAACAAAGTTTGTGCAAGTTCAATTTCTCTGTGGTAGACAGAATCATACGTGCAAGGCCTAAAAGACCTAAGTTTCATGTTATTTACAATATTTTATAAATTAATAAAAGGGCACAAGATGTTCGGTCTGAGTGCGTGTTGAAATGTTGAGGTTTCAGATAAATTTTAAATTCAAACTGTTTTCATTTCAACTGCTTTATTCATAGTCAACATGAAGAGAAAGCTGATTGGACCTTCGTCTTTTTTATCACGGCATAGCTGATCCTTCTGGACTTATGAAAGATGGTCACAAAACGCCTAAACATCGCAGTCAGCCTTGCTGCTGGTCATCTGGCGCGACTTTCAGTTCCAGATAGGCGAACGACCTCCAGATATGGGGGGTCTGCTGCGAAATCATTATAGGCG